CTCTAGACGATGGGTAACATGAAGCTCCTCTTTTAAATTTTTTTCACTATTTGAGCTAAAAAGGAAATGTGAATGAAATAAAGAATTTAACTTTTATACGTGTCCCATGTAGTCTGTTAAATAACTTTATCTTCATATCTGTGGGCAGAAAAAATCTTAGCTAGGTTTCTCCTGGTGGGGTGTGTGCGCGTAAATTTGGATGTGCTGGTATTTTATCGAACATTTCATACGGTGTATATTGAGATTGGGTCAGACCTTGAGCGACCTTTCTTGAATCACAGATGTCTTCGCCCTTAGGATGAAGAACTCCCCCTCCTCCTCCCTCCTCAGAGTTGTCCCCTACCCAGATGCTTGAGAGCCTTTGGTGGGAATATAAACCGGTGCAACCTCTGTGGACTAGTGGTTCCAGAAGAAACTAAAACTAGAATTCCCATATGACCCAGCAATTCTGTTCCTGGGTACGTACCCCAAACCACTGAAAGCAGGAACTAGGAACTTGAAGAGACACTTGTACGATGTTCACAGCAGCATTATTTACAGTGGCCAAGAGGTGGAAACACCCCACGCGTCCAGCGACAGATAAGCGAATAAACAAAACTGATGTGCCCACGTGGTGGGGTATTATTCAGATATTAGAGGGTGAGCAGTATCGGCCCCTACAGCACGGACGAGCCTGGAGAACAGAATGTTCGGTGAAATGTGTGTGTCACCCAAGGACAAATACCGTGCAATGTCACGTACGGGAAATACCTACAACAGTCAAATTCACAGAGACCGAAAATCGAAGAGTTGTTGCCAGGGCCCAGGCGGGTGAAGGAATAGCCCCCTTCCCCACAAGTGCTGCCTTAGCCGTCAGTAAGGAATTTTCTGATCAGCATCAGTGAGGTCATCTGTCACATTTGGGCCTCTTCCAAACCCCGGAAGGGAGATAGGGTGAGACGGCTTGCCCTTCCAGCTAAAGAAGGTGATCCTGCCTGAAACAATCCTTTTCTTTTGCTAACAACTTTCTTGCCCCACCCTCCCTCCCACAAAAACCTTTTCTTTTTGTACAATCCTCCGCTTGCTGGACGGGATCCTGCCCGGTTTGTGAATCTCTTGATAAAGCCAAGTAGATCTTCAAATGTACTCGGTCAAGAATTTTGCTTTTTGACAACGGGTGTAGAGTGTCACTTGGGGAAGATAAAGAGTCCTGTGGATGGACACTGCTGATTGCACAACATGAATGTACTTAATGCTACTTGTTGAGGCAGCGTGAGACAGCCTGAGGGCAAAATATTCCTGGGGCACTTCTGGCTGCCCAAGGACAAAGGAAAGGACAGAGAAAGGGTTAAACCGGTTAAGAGTCTCCACCAATTTCCCGGAAAAAGGCAGTCCCATCAATAGCCTGACCTCTAGTAATCTGTAGATTCTTGATTTTGGCTCGGGTCGTGATCTCATGGTTTGTGAATCTGAGCCCCACGAATGGTGGGGATTTTCTCTTCCCTGCTCTTTCTCTCTCAAAATAAAATTTTTCACGTGTATTTATTTTTGAGAGAGAGATTATTTTTCAACGTTTATTTATTTTTGGGACAGGGAGAGACAGAGCATGAACGGGGGAGGGGCAGAGAGAGAGGGAGACACAGAATCGGAAACAGGCTCCAGGCTCTGAGCCATCAGCCCAGAGCCTGACGCGGGGCTCGAACTCACGGACCGCGAGATCGTGACCTGGTTGAAGTCGGACGCTTAACCGACTGCGCCACCCAGGCGTCCCGAGAGAGAGATTATTTTTGATAGAGATTATTTTTGAGAGAGAGACAGAACACAAACGGGAGGGACAGAGAGAGAGAGGGAGACACAGAATCGGAAGCAGGCTCCAGGCTCCAGGCTCCGAGCTATCAGCACGGAGCCTGACGCGTTGCTCGAACCCATGAACCGCAAGATCATGATCCAAGCCGAAGTCGGATGCTTAACCGACTGAGCCACCCAGGCGCCCCTTTTAAAAAATAATAAAAAACTAGGGGGAGCTACCTGAGTGTGTTTCACGGAACCCCAGGACCACCCCTAAGTTGGAAGATTTACTAGAAAGAATCATGGGATTTAGCTTCTCAGCATCCCATGGCTAAGGTTTATCATGGTGGTGTGCCCCTGGGACAAAGCCCCAGGCAGAGTCTGGAGGAATCCAGGCACAGGCTTCCTTCTGCTTTCCCTCCCCTTGTAGCTGGGGCTCTGGGGGTCCCAAACAGACCAGGCTTGGTCACCTGCTGCTGACAAAATCCAGAGCCAGAGAAATGAGTTGTGGGGAAACAAGGAATTTATTTCAGTGAGGCCAGCACCGCAGGAAGATAGCATCTCTTAAGACAGTGTCTCCAAAGTGCTGAAAACTCTTCCAGGTTTGTATAAGGAAAATGTGGAACAGAGGTCAGTGGCTACGTGCAGGTTGGCAGCGAAGGTCAGGTTGATCATTGCGGCTAATCACATGGGGTCTTGCTGGCTTAGGGCCGTCCTCATGCTTGAGGGGCTAGTTTTCTGTTTCCACCTGGGATGCTTTGCCTGCAGG